ATGCTTGCCAGCCATGCTTCGCTTTCCCTTGCTTCTAGACACAGCACCGTATTCCCTGCCTCTATTGTCACTGTGACTCTAAGTGAATCCGACGATTGAAGGCTTTCTTCTGTCACTAAAGGGTTGATTTTTTCCTTTTTTTTGAGTAACTAATTTTCATAATGCATTGTGCAAGGTCCAAGGAAAACTACAGATCATACTGACAGAAGGAAATCAACTTCAAAACTGATTTAATAAACTTTTGAAAATTAAAAAAATAAGGAAAGGGCAACCCATATTACTGTAAAAGTTTGACAGAAAAAGTGGCAACTTCTCAGTTCAGAATTGCAACATTTTCCAGTACGGTTCCCTTTGAAGAGCATTAACTGTTTCAATTAGGAAAAAAAATAAAGCTATTTTTAAACATTGTACTTCACCAGCTTGTGAGAAACATTTTATACTTCATTTTTGTTAAATCCGTGTTTGGTGAGAGGTGGAGTTGAAGTATTAAATAAGGCTCTATGTAGAAGATATTAGTAAACAATAAAAAGACTTTAATATATGTATAGTAGGTATCCACAGCCTACAAGAAAAAGTAGACAAAAGAAAATTTAGGATGTTTTCCTATTTATACAGTTAATGATTTAGTAATAGTGGAGAAAGGATCTTTAGGTGACATAAGTATATATCTTAAGTAAGATTGATTGCAATGCAAAACTGTTAAGTCTTGCAGGAATACTAGAAAAGGAAGTTTAGGATTTGAGACCAATTTTTCTTTAACTTAAAAAAATTCATCATTAAGATATCTTTGAAAAAAAAAAGTAGAAGGAACTTTCACAGTTCCTCCATATTGTGATTTTGAATGCAGTTTTATTCCTCAGAGCAGAAGGAACACAAAATGAATAATGGTAATTAGGCCTCTTCCTATTTCAGTTCTGAGTTTACCTTATACAGAAGAAAATTATTAAAGAAAAACACTGTTTTCTTATTTGAATTACAAATACTGAAGCCTGGTTTCAGTGATCTAGTTAACTTTGGGTTTTTGAGAAAACAGAAGGAAAACTTAACCTGATAGAATTTTTATAAGATAATTTTTCTACCAAAATATTGTTTCCACAGATTAAGGAATTTTGTTTATTCTTTTCATTGTTCTATCCTCAAAACTTAGAACAGGACCTAGAACAGAGTAGTTATTTGATAAATTTGGTTGAATGAATGAATGAGATCAGTATATTGTTTAATTGGGTGAAATACACAGCATGGACCTTTAAATGTCTGTTTTCTATTTTCTATCCAGATACTGGAATTACATTGTGGATCAGTAACTATAGTACCAGTTTTGGTTCGCATGTGCTTGTTTTGCCAATAATATAACAAAGTCATATGTGACTTCAATAGACTAACTGAAGGCTACAGCGGTTTTCTACCTAACTATCTTGTTAAAAATTTTTAGAGTGCAGGGAGGGGAGGGGAAGAGGGAGAGAGAGAGAGTCAGTCTCAAGCAGACTCTGTGCTGAGGGCAGAGCCCGATGGGGGTATTGGGGTGTGGGGGGCGACTTGATGTTATGATTCTGGTATGAGGACCTTAGCTGAAACCAAGAGTCAGACGCTTAACTGACTGGGCCACCTAGGTGCCCCAGTTTTCTATCTATGTTACATGTTAGCTGTTACTTGAATTGTGGACTGTAGGGTAATGTTTTCCACCAGGATTTATCGGCCAGGATAAAGGCATAGCAGAGGAATCTAGTTTGGGTAGAAGTGCCCTGAGCAACCTGAACCAAACAAAGTTTTTGTACGAGACTAGTTACGAGATAATCTGAAGGGAAAAAGAGTACATGAATTATAGGCACAGAAATGTACTCACTTGGTAAGTACTTTCCAAAATGGGTTTTTAGACCACTTACATCATAGTGTAGTATCTTCTAGGTTTTCCAGTTCTGACGTAAGAACTAATACTGCATTGCCAAAAACCTGACATATTCTGTGCTTGAGCTCATGGGATATGTTCTGGGAAATCTCTGTCCTAGGACTACGGCAGGTTACAGTTAGAAGGAGGATGTATGATCTTCACGAAAGATAATGATTGCTCGTATGTACATGAATGCACACTTTAGTCTCTGTCAGATCCACGTATTAATAAAAAACATGAAAGATGAACCTTATCTACATAAAGATACCTACCTCCTTCAATTCAGAATGAAGTCCCTCTTGATATGAATTAATCTTTGAGGATTATCTCATTTCAACTAAAAATGTGATTTAGTGGGGCACCTGGGTGGCTCAGTGGATTAAAGCCTCTGCCTTCAGCTCGGGTCATGAACGCAGGGTCCTGGGATCGAGCCCCGCATCGGGCTCTCTGCTCAGCGGGGAGCCTGCTTCCTCCTCTCTCCTTTCTCTCTGCCTGCCTCTCTGCCTACTTGTGATCTCTGTCAAATAAATAAATAAAATCTTTAAAAAACAAAAACAAACAAAAAAAAACCAAAAAAATGTGATTTAGTGATTTTTGTTACACATACTTTTTCTTCCTTCCTTACAATATACACTTTGACTATTAAACAGTAATAACCAGTAGTGCTAGTACTCTTACTTAAACACTGCCACATTATCTTTGAAATAATACTTATATTAATAAGATTTTGGTAACCACTGCCACATAATATCTCAATTTAAAGATCCAAAAACCAATATTCAGCAATTTGCAGAAATTGAATGTATTTTTCTGAACTTGCTAATATTATAGTTTAGAAATTGTCAGTACTATGTGTTTATAGTTTCTCCAAAATAAATCATTTCCTTTGGGGCATAATTTTATTGCTCTCACATTCCTTCCTGCTCTGTTAAGTCTAATGAGGTTTGTTTGTCCTCTAGGTGACCTACAAACGAGATCTGTATGCAGCTGAATCGATTATTAAGGGTATGTTTGGCCTTGTGACTGTCAGTTCCTGTGTTTCAAAAATGTAAGCTGGTTCAGAATTTCTCATGACATTTTAAATCCCAGAATTCTCAGAAGTATAAATGCCTGTAGGCCACAGAGGTCTGTGATTTGTTTTTTTGGAAAATAATTATATTTTATGTTTCCTGCTTGTGAAATATCACTTAGTTATGTCATGTTGGTTTTAATTTTTATAAAGGAAATACTTAATTTATGAAAAGTATGGGACATTGACACTATTAGAAATAAAAAATGATTTTAATAAATTTAAGATACTTATTTTTACTAAGAGGCCAGGTTGTCCCCTTCCCCCGCCTTCCCATAATACCACCCTATCAATATGTGATGTAGCATCTTTCATATGAAAGTATTTTTTCGGGGCGCCTGGGTGGCTCAGTGGGTTAAAGCCTCTGCCTTCGGCTCAGGTCATGATCCCAGGGTCCTGGGATCGAGCCCATATCGGGCTCTCTGCTCAGCAGGGAACCTGCTTTCCTCTCTCTCTGCCTGCCTCTCTGCCTACTTGTGATCTCTGTCTGTCGAATAAATAAAATCTTAAAAAAAAAAAATATTTTTCCCCCCAAAGACAGAAATAAGACTAGATGATATGTTAAATTCCTTTTCAATCTTGACAATGACTGCAGTTTTGTTTTGCAATTTGGATACTGCATATGTAATAACCCCTCAATCCATCTCTAGGCCTCACAGCAACACAGAGGTAGTTTATATAATAATCAACAAGTATTTGTTGTTGTGCTTAACACTGTACGGGGAATGTAATGATGATGCACAGGGGACATTGATTCTCTACCTTTGCAGCCTCTGTCTTTTCAGTCAGGGTTTCTGAACCCCAATACCCTTGGTATGTTAGTCCAGGTAATTCTTCGTTGCGGAGACTGTTTCATCCATTGTAGGTTATCGAGCAGCGTGCCTGGCCTGTATTCACCAGATGCCAGAAGTGCTCTTTCCTCCCTCCTTCCCTCTGTTCTCCCTGATGTGACATCAGAAATGTGTCCTGACAGAAACACTGTTAAAATCTGTGGTCCTGGCACAAATGACAGCGTCAATCCTGAAGCAGGTGTGGGGGCTTCACAATCTGATACTGATACCCTCAAAATAGATGAAGGATAGATCTGTGTGCTCAGGTTTTGACTGAGAGGTGAACTTGGCATTCAGACTTGGAAGCTGGAAAAATTGCTGAGTCTGAACTCTGAGTGCATCAATTTGTTAAGTAGGTTTTCCCCCAGATTTTGAATAATCAATTGGCTTCATATTTTCAGGGCTGAAATCTTTATGCTGCTCATGACATTGTATATTTGTGGCCTATCCTCAAGGTTTTTGTCCTTCAAGAATATTGTATTGCAAACCATTAATGTACCATAATTTATACGTCCGTGTATCTGTGTATGTAAACAGATCATCCAAGGCTATAAATCAAAATGTTGACATGTATTTACACATCAGCCAGGCATTGTATAAACATGACTGTGGAGAGGCTGGCTAAAACTATGAGGTGGTTGGTTACGTTCTCAGGAGAAGCAAATAGAAAATGTGTCTGGTTTCCACATATAGTCATACCTTTGTTACCTAAGTACAATGGACTTGACCTACTTTGTGAGTTGTTGGTCAGTGCCCCTACTGAGAATTATGCACATGATATTTGCCTACAGTTTATCAGAGCAGGCTTTTTAGAACGTAAAAACTACACTTTAAGTGTACTTAAAATGACTGTAGTTTTAGAAATTGTATACAGAGAGAAACTGTTTTTCTTCTGTAACTTGTTTCAGTGTGCTGTTTTTAAGTATTTAAAAAGTGTTCTTTTATTCTTGGGGAAAGTAATCTGACTGAATATGAATGACTGATCAATCATCTCCAAAAATTTCCTCATGCTCTAGGGTTTGCATATCTAATAACTTTCCAGGAGATTGTGATGTTGCTCATATACTTGGAGGGCCACTCCTCTGGTACCTTCCCACTCTCACTGTGGGTCTCTGGATCAGCAGCATGGTGATGACCTGAGAATCTGAATGCAGGATGTTTGGCCCCAGCATATAAAGTCAGAATATGCATATTCTGATATGCATATTATCAGTTATCAGAGTTAGAGCAAAAACTCTGGCTGAGTAGTTTGCATGATAAATTTTGGAAACATTCCTCTAGGCTGCTCTTCAGTCTTTCACAGATCATTTCTTTTTAGATAATATTTTTATTGCATTTAGAGCTCTAACTGTGCTTTATCAGCTCCAAATGCTTGTTTGCTTACCTGGGATTGCTACCTCCCTCTGTGATTTGCACTAACGCTATCTCAGATGGGAGAATCAACACTAGGCATAGCCAATGAACACCCTTGGATTTTTTAAAAATAAAATTGCAAAATAAAATATATATAGTAGATTGTCTGAGCTAGGTATTCACCACTTTGCCTGTTCCTACTAAATGTTCAAAGTATTTTTCTAGGCACTACTATAACACAGTATTTATTGGGTGCTTACTTCGTGTCAGAATTGTTTGAAGCATGTTATATGTATCAGCTCATGCTTCTTCAAGTACTTAATGATGTAGGTCATGCCACCATGTCCGTATGATAGGATAATCGGGGGTTCTAAGCAATTACTGCTTTATGAAGGATAGAAAATACATTCTTAACTCCAAGTTTCTGTCTTTGGTAGTTTATCTCTTTTTGTAGCTATTACTTCTTTTTTTCCTTAAGCAGAGATTTTTCAGATTACCTTCTCTGAAATCTTTGAACTATGTATGTTTTGAAATTTGGAATATTTATATTTTCAGAAGTTAATGCAGTACATAACATGTTAAGTCACATCAATAGTTGGATTAAGGACCATGCAACATAAGAAAACTATAATGCATGAACGTTTACATTCAGGACAGGAATAAAGACTATAGAGCCTCTAGCCCAAGTTCAAGTCTGATTTTACCACCAAATTTATATATGAAAATATTAAATTTTTTATTTAAAGACAGTTCTTGGATTTTAGCATTGCTCATAACTCAGTATAAGCCTCTTTTAGACTGATTCAGTGAAGGTGAGAGGATATCTTTTTTTTTTCTTTTGTTTTCTGTAGTGTTTAACACTGGGTTTAATTGAATGTAGTATATTGTAGGGTACAGCTAACATTTTTTTCCCTTAGACTCGAAAAAAATTTAAATTACGGGGATAGGTGGCTCTTTTCTCCCGCCACACCTCTTGACCTGCTCCTAAGAGATGCAAATTGTGACTCAGTGTATCTGTCACTATTATTATATATCTATTTTTCCTCAAATATGATATAAATTAGGTGTAAATACTTTTGTCAAAGTTCAAAACCAGGATTTGGAGCACATGGCTTTCATGCCAGCTGTTTTAAATAGGTTACCATCATCTTTTTACTATAATGTTGTAACAGATGTAATACTACTCCCATTTTGAAACTGGGTAAACTGGTTTAGATGCATTATTTTTCTCTTGATCATACAGTGAGAGCAAGATGCACAATTTAGGCCCAGGTCTGTTTTGTCTTTAAGCCTGACCTCGCTCTAGGGCATGGCCGCTTGGCACCTCTGAGTCATAAGCTGCTCAAGCTGGCTGCTGTGCTGGATACTAGATTGGTTAGTGCTGTTTTGGTCAGTACAGCCAATGGCTTGTAGAATTCAGCCTACCAGCTCTGATTCTGTTGCCTTACAACTCTCTGTACAGCTGGCCCGATGAGGAGTGAGCACACGGTTGTGACTGGACGTATTTTCTTACACTGCTATGCTAAGCACACGGTATAATCTTCTAGAGCATGTGAGAAAAACATAATACTGACATAGCAGATTTCCAGACATGACTGAAGATCAGTAAAAATTAAAACTCAAAATCATAGATTCAGAATGACTGGTTGGTTGAGTTTTCTTCTTTATTAATTTTGGTAGTTGAAGGCTTATGCGGCCATAGCAGTCTTCCTTTTCCAGGATGAAGCTTTTTTTAATCCGGTGATCTGAGTGGTTAGTATTCTGTAAGTGGTCCTTCCTGAGCTGCTCTTCACTTGAATGCCAATTATTTGTGGGTCAACAAATTACATTCTCATGAAAGTATTTTCTCATTTAGATATTTTAAGGCTCTACAAAGCATTTCCTTGATAAATGTCATGTCTTGCAGGTGCATTTTGTTCTCCCAAATTTACTTGTCACTGGAACAACATGTATGTGTTGATGAATCTTAGCATTTGTTTAAGTCCATATCTTTTGTTCGGTATGAGAATTTTGATGTAACTAACTTTAGGCAGGCTTTTGACTAAAATCTCCAAATTGTGGTATCCAGCAAGTGTCAAAATCTACCTTCTATTTTTGTGTTTGTAGATAAGTCTTATTTTGAAGCTTAAATTATTTTAGTATATTTATATGGATTTCCATCTATAGTGAAGTATTTGATAATAGGAAATGTGTATATAAGGTAGTCATATTCATACAGTTGTCTGTATTGGAAAAGGTACAGTTAATCATAAATTTACTATGAGGTAAAACAAAGCATTTTTTTAAAAAGTTTTTATTTAAATTCCATTTAACTTACTGTGTAGTATTAGTTTCAGGTGTACAATAGAGTGATTCAACATTTCCATATATTATCTGGTGCTCATCACAAGTGTGCTGCTTAATTCCCATCTCCTATTTCACCCATTCCTTTATCCAGCTCCCCTCTGGTAACCACAGTTCTCTATAATTGAAAGCCTGTTTCTTGGTTTGTCTGCCTTTTTCTGCCTTCGTTCATTTGTTTTGGTTCTTGAATTCCACATATGAGTGAAATCATATGGTATTTGTCTTTCTCTGTCTTATTTCAAGAGTATTATACTCTCTAGCTCTATCTATGCTCTGCAAATGGCAAGATTTCATTCTTTTTTTATGGCTGAATAACATTCTATTGTATATATACCACATCTCTATGTATTCATCAATGGATGGACACTTGGGCTTTTTCCATAGTTTGGCTATTGTAGATAATGCTGCTG